GGTGCGGGAGGAACGGGGCGGGAGGACGTGGGGGTCTGCCGGGGAGGATGTGGGGGAAGAGGTGGGCGGTGGCCAAACTGCCCGAGGGCGTGGTCGCGGGAGGACTCGGAATATTTTTTTTGGACGGGACGTGTTTGTAAGGATGGTAACCCAATGGCATGGTGGGTAATTAAAGCATACAACGTGTTTGGTGTTTTGAAGGGATGTAGACCATCAGATTGCAGGTTTGGATGGATAGGATAGCTTGGTTCTCCGTCCTTTCGTGCTTTTATAGTGGTAGTAGATAGTAGATAGATAGTAGATTATTTCTACGTTTTAGATATATTCACAATATTCAAAATAAAACAGAAAAACGGATGTAAAAATGTGAAAAGAAAACGAAAAAGAAAGACTAATCAAAGCCCAACGGGCTAGAAGGCACTGGTAACTCACAACCGACCTTACGCCGTCCGTCGCGCCGTGGTGCGCCTCCGCCGGACGCGAGGCCCGCCGTCTCTGCCCCGCGCGCCGCTTGCTCCCCTCCCTCTCGCGCGTCATCCCGGGGTCTTCCGCCGCCCGAAGTTCGCTGCCCCGAGCTCCGTCCCACCGACATCGCCTGGTCCCCGCTCCGTCTAGCCGGAATCAAGCCACCGTTCGGCGTCACCGGCGGCGAGGTAGTAGGCACCGCCATCCCTTCCCACTTTCGTTTACCTCTCGTTGTTTGTTTCGATTGGTTGGCTGAAAGCCTGAAACCATGCCCTGAAACCCTACGTTTTGATTTGGGGATCGAGGAGGCGTAGAGCGGCGGGGCCATGGAGGAGGACGGCCTCGACATGGACGGCGTCTTCGTGGGCGGCCGCGACGGGGAGTTCTACTACGAGGGCCGCCGCGAGCGCGCGCCCCAGACCCGCGACGAAGCCCTCTACGGCGTCTTCGGCAAGGGGCACTCCGACTACGACTACGACTCCGAGGAGGACGAGGGGTCGCGACGCCGCAAGCGCAGAAGGGACGAGTCCGAGTCTGACTTCACTAGGCCCGTGCAGTTCGTCTCCAAGGGAATGCCCGAGGGGGTGGAGCAGGAGGAGCAGAGGCCTGGGCTTGGCCAGGCCCCGTCTTCCCTGCGCACCGCCGCCGCCGAGGGCGACCAGGAGGAGGTCATCGACCTGCCCGCGGGGTTCGGGCAGCGGATCGCCGAGGGTGCGCGTGCCAGGCGGGAGGAGAAGGACCGGCAGCACGAGGCGGCCAAGCGCCGCCGCCAAGCGTCGTCGGCGGGGGTGGATGATGGAAAACCAGCTCTGGCCCCTGGCAGCGTGGAGTCCAACACGAAGGTGGCTAAGATGATGGCTATGATGGGGCACAAGAGAGGAATGGGCCTCGGCAAGCATGCTCAGGGAATCACCGCACCGGTGGAGACCATCCTGCGCCCCAAAAATGCCGGACCTGGCAGTGTTGAGGAGTTTAAGGAGGCCAAGCCCTTCACTGCCAAGGAGAACCTGCCACCCCCACCTCCTCTGCCGTCTGCCAAGAAGGAAAAGCAACGGTGGTCCAAGAAGGCCAGCTTGAAGAGAGATCAGGTCCTGACAAAGAATGAGTTGCTGGCTATGCGCGCCGAGCAGGAACAGGATGAGCAGCCCACGGTTGTCCAGAAGGTGATTGACAGTGGCGGAGCCAGAA